GCATGATGTGATTTTATTTTATTAAGATATTCATGAGTCTAACAGCCTCAGGGTAGAAGCTGTTCCTCAGTCTAGTGGTTCTACACGTAATGCTCCTTAACCTCATTCTTGAGGGGAGCAGGGCAAAAAGTGTGAGTGCTGGGTCATTGGGGTCCTTCATGATGCAGGTGGCCCTCTTCCTACATCTGGAGGTGTAGATGTCTGTGATGGTTTGGAGGCTGACTCCAACAGACTTCTGTGCAGCCCTGCTGTCACGTCTTGTCACTTGTACACATAGTTAGCCAGTAATATGCCTTCAGCCAATTGCTGCCGCGTAGACCAATCTCGTCTTGTCATGTGTACACGTAGTTAGTTCCCTGGTGCAGAAGCTCTCCTTTCTTGGACTGAGTCCCACACTGGGGAACTGGATTCTGGACTTCCTGACCAACAGATCTCAGACTGTCAGGATCCACAACATCATCTCCTCCATCAACCTCAGCACTGGCTTGTCCCAGGCCTGCGTGCTGAGCCCCCTCCTGTTCGATTTGCTGACATATGACTGCTCGGCTAGACCCCCCAGCTGCCATATAGTGAAGTTTGCGGACGACACAGCAGTAGTGGGACGCATCACAAACAACGATGAGTCCAAATGCATAGAGGAGGTGGAACACTTGGTGCAGAGACAATAATCTCTGCATCATTGTGAAGTAAACCAAGGAGATGGTGGTGGATTTCAGAAGGGCATCCTCTTCATCCCCTACACATCAGAGGAGCAGCTATGGAGGTGGTCTCCTGCTACAGCTACCTGGGGGTGCATATTATTCACATTATAGAATTTTCGTTAGTGTTTACCGCTGTTGTGTGTGTGTGAACCGTTAGACACAGCTCTCCACCTGTGTGTGTTTGATCATGGACTTTGATCTAGGAAGCTTTGTGGAACAGACCACAGTAGATGTTCTGATTAATTGCACAAAAGAGCAACTGTTACGCGTGGCAGACTATTATGAAATCACTGTGGATAAACGCACACGAAGAGAAACTGTGGAAAGTGAATTAATGGCTGCGTTAGTGCAAATAGGAATTCTTCCTGCGGCAACGTCCCCTAGAAGCCTTGTGTTTTCCCCATCTGAGGTAGACAAGCAGATCCGCTTGCGGGAACTTGAGTTAAAAATGAGGGAACGTGAAAAAGAATCGCTTCTGAGAGCCCTGCCCAACTTGTTTTTTGTATGGTGAAATGTATGATGTGTCACAGCATGCCTACATTTTCCCCCATACAAAAATATTGGCGGTGGGGGTGTTCTGCATCCTAGGGTGCCCCTAGTGACACCTTCTAGGTTTTGTACATATGAGCTGCAGTTTTGTTTCTTCTTGGGCACGCCTCTCTATTTTAATCAGCTTAATTGCAGTCAGCTTGGGAGTTCTGACTGAAGCTCCTATATAAGCTTCAGAGTGTGGTTCTTAGAGTGCGGAGTCTTGAGGAACTCAGAGGTGGTGGTGCTGCTTGCTGCAGTGCTGTTTGGTACTAAGGTGTTCTCCGCCCACCCTTGTTGTCTCGTTAGGAGGTAAGCTCCTGTTGAGGAGATGTGAAAGAGCTGCCGAGTGCTCTTTGTTTGAGATTTAGGCCTGGGTGCTTAATATGCATTTAGACCTTGAGTGTGCGTGTTGAAGCCTAGTTCAGCTCAGGTAGAGGGGCCTGAGCTGTGTGATTGTGGACGTTTGGGTGTTTCTGTTTATTGTCCAGGGAGGTGATTTTGCTGACCGTGGACGGTCCTGCGATTTGGGTCAGTTTTGTTTCTTTCCTCCCGTTCGCTGTAGTCATTCAGACTAAGGCCCTCTGACTGGGTGAGATTTGGTAGTCCTGTTTTCGTTTTTTTTTCTTTACTCCTAGACATCTTTTGGACAGGTAGTCTGCTGTCTGTGAGGCTTCGACGACCCTGTACAGGGTTGGCCCTGCTCAGGTGGTGTTATATTGATTTTGGCCAAACTCACCTGGTCCACCTTTCTTTTTATTACTTTACTTTCTTTTTGTTTGGTGACACGGGTCCTGAAGAAGGTGCTCTCCAGTCCAGGAGGGAGGAGCCCACGAAGACTTCGCCTGCTGCCCGGAGTGATTTATAAAACTTAGGTTTAATAAAGTTTTATTTTTTTAAACCTTCTTTTGGTGTCCTGTGTCCCTTAAATATGTTCGGTCTGAGCTGGCCGTAACAGGTGTTTAGTGTAAATTACTTCCACACAGCGGACATGTTTAGATGAAAAGTTGGTTAGCTGTTAGCCACAGTGCTGCTCACTCAGTCCTCAAGTTTAATCTGGCTGCAAACAATGGAATGGATTTCCTGAATGTGAGGTGGGTCCTATTACTCTGGGTTCATGAGACACGCCTCCGTTCAGGAAATCCATTCCATAGTTTGAAGCCAACGTGCATCATGGATCGCAAATCTCTGCAGGTTGGATCAGAAAAATCTGATACATAAATTATACTGGTATTGGAGGCCGATACGGGTACGGGATTAGCCCCATCCCTAATATATACACACATATATATGTGGGGTTCTTGGGTTTTTGTTTGTCTGTCTGTTCACCTTCCCTCCACAGTTAATCAGCTCA